CAATGGGTATTGGAGGAAAATTTCAAGTGTTGACTGATATAGAGTGTAGAGTATATGCAATGGCAATGGGTATCTGCTATAGAGTATTGGCTATAAAGTGTAGAGTATAATTTCAAATGTTGGTTGTTGTCTGTTGTTGATGTTGCCTGGTTTCCAGTTAGGGAAAATTTTGAAACCAAGTGTTGGAGGAAAATAATGGTATAGTGGGTTTTGAAAATGGTGGTATTAATTCAGTTATGGATTTAGATGAGGTGGAAATAGAGAGAAAAATCGACGAGATTCAAACAATGGCGAGGAAGGCAAGAGTTAGGGAAAAACGAGAACTGAAAAACAATGGTTTTGACAGTAAGGAAAAAGATTATATTGATGATGGAAAGTTTATGAAGAGTGGGATTGAAAAAGAGGTCGATAACAGATTAATCAACTTGCAAAAAAAAATTAGAGAAGTCTGACAAGAAGTTGCCAGTGTCATCTGTTGGCATTTTGAGGACCGCAGATGGGAGAAAAATTGGGGTTGAGAAGGATAAATTACACGAGAAAGAAGGGAATGGAGCATTGATGTTTAAAAAGAAGTACAAATTTAAAGGCTTGGCGAACATTTTGGATGAAAAACCAAAAGGTTTTACAAATCCGGAGTATGAAAGTATTAATAAGTTCGAGCAAAAAGGAAACATGGAGAAGGGGAGCGACTTGTTGAGAAATGGGAATGATAACAATGACAAAGGGGATTCAAAAGGAAGTGATTTGATGCATTTGGAGTAAGAAGCAGAATCTGCACCATCCAATAAGCTGTTGAATGGAAATTATAGCTTAAATGGGAAAGAAGTGATTTGATGCATTTGGAGGAAGAAGCAGTCTGCACCATCCAATAAGCTGTTAAATGGAAATTATAGCTTGAATGGGAAAGAAGTTGGAAACACCCAAGGGGCCAACAACAATGAGGATACCAAATCTGAAAGCGAGCCTGATTTCTGGTGGTTGAATCTCCCATATGTTCTAGTNCCAACAACATTGAGGATACCAAATCGGAAAGCGAGACTGATTTCTGGTGGTTGAATCTCCCATATGTTCTAGTATGTAAATAGATTTAGTAATTATCATGTTTCTTATATCTTGTTCATCATTGATTTTTCTGTCTTTCTACGATTTGGATTATTGTTGCCTAATTTACTTATACTTGCTTTTATATGATAAGTAGGTATTTCCTAGAGTTGAAACATTAAATCCTAGGCACAAATAAAGCTATGAGTTTTAAGGTTCCATGTCTTTTAATCCCTAAGTGCCTTTTATGACTTAATGCACAAATAAAGTTTTTTTACTTTTCTTTTACATATACTTCTGTCCTTGTAATGTAAAAGAATGCACATATGTATCATCAAAGTTATACACTTGTACATTATTTTCATTCTTGATTTTGGTTTTTGTGATGTTAAACAAGGTCCATAAAATTTAATAAGTATTTTAGTAAATCAAGTTCGTAAAAAATCGTCATAGATATGCAACTTCAAGAATTGAATGATCGTTCTCGGAGGTAAATACTGAGTTACTCCTTTGTATAGCTTGTCTGTGTCCACAAAATTCGTTATCTGCTTTTGATAAAAGTAAGTTGATTCAAGTTGTTATGTTTTATAAACAAGATTTTTCAGAAGTAGATTTATTAACACTTGATGATCAACTTGATAATTACATTGTTTATGTTCTCTCTAGCAAAGAGT